TGGGATTTTCCTGGGGTTTTTCTGGAGTTTTCTCAGGGATTTTTCCCTGAATTTTCTGGGATTTTCCCGGGATTTTCCTGGGATTTATCTGGGGTTTTCCCGGGGTGTTTTCTGGCGTTTTCCTGCGGATTTGTCTGGGATGTTTCTGGGGTTTTCCCAGGATTTCCTGGGATTTTCCAGGGTTTTCCTGGGATGCTTGTGGGATTTTCCTGGGATTTTGTTTGGGATATTCCTGGGGATTTGTCTGGGATTTTCCTGGGAATTTGTTCGGGATATTCCTGGGGATTTTCCTGGGAATTTGTTCGGGATATTCCTGGGATTTTCCTGGGAATTTGTCTGGGATTTCCTGGGATTTTCCTGGGGGATTTTCCGGGATATTCCTGGGATGTTTCTGGGATTTTCCTGGGATTTTGTTTGGGATATTCCTGGGATGTTTCTGGGATTTTCCTGGGGATTTGTTTGAGATGTTCCTGGGATTTTCCTGGGGATTTGTCTGGGATATTCCTGGGGATTTTCCGGGATATTCCTGGGATGTTTCTGGGATTTTCCTGGGGATTTGTCTGGGATATTCCTGGGGATTTTCCGGGACATTCCTGGGATGTTTCCGGGGATGTTCCCGGGGATTTTCCCGGGGGATTTCCCGGGATTTCCGCTGGGTGTTCCCGCAGTCGGTGAAGAAGTTCCCGTGCCACCTGTGCGAGCGCTCCTTCTGCTCCGCGCCCAGCCTGCGCCGCCACGTCCGCGTCAACCACGAGGGCATCAAACGCGTCTACCCCTGCCGGTATTCCCGGGATTCCTGGGATTCCCCCGTTCCCGGGAACCCCACGATCCCCGGGATCCCACAATTCCCGGGATTCCCCCCATTCCTGGGATCCCTGGGATCCCCACAATTCCCGGGATTCCCCCCATTCCCGGGAACCCCACGATCCCCAGGATCCCACAATTCCCAGGATTCCCCCCATTCCTGGGATCCCTGCGATTCCTGGGATCCCACAATTCCCGGGATTCCCCCGTTCCCGGGAACCCCATGATCCCCGGGATCCCACAATTCCCGGGATTCCCCCCATTCCTGGGATCCCTGCAATTCCTGGGATCCCACAATTCCCAGGATTCCCCCCATTCCTGGGATCCCTGCGATCCCCGGGATCCCCACAATTCCCGGGATCTCCAATTCCCAGGATCCCTGATTCCCGGGATCCCCCAATTCCTGGGATTCCCCCAATCCCCAGGATCCCAGGATTCCCTCCCATTCCTGGGATTCCCAATTCCCGGGATCCCCACAATTCCCAGTTTAATTCCCAAGGGATCAGGGTTTAATTCCCAAAGAATTGGGGTTTAATTCCCAAGGGATCAGGGTTTAATTCCCAAGGGATCAGGGTTTAATTCCCAAGGGATCAGGGTTTAATTCCCAAGGAAATCAGGGTTTAATTCCCAAGGGATCAGGGTTTGATTCCCAAGGAAATCAGGGTTTGATTCCCAAGGAATCAGGGTTTGATTCCCAAGGAAATCAGGGCTCCGTTCCCACCCGTCCCGCCCAAGTTGGCAATCGGAATTCCGGGAAGGAGAGGGGTTTGGGAAGGGACTGCGGGGCTGGGAGGGGCTGGAATTCGGGAATTCCGGCGGCAGCATTCCCGTTTTTCCGCGGCAGGTACTGCACGGAGGGGAAGCGAACGTTCAGCAGCCGCCTGATCCTGGAGAAGCACATCCAGGTGCGCCACGGCCTCTCCGGAGCCGACGGCCGCGGCCTCGAGCTGCCCGCGGCCCGCGGAGCCGCCGGCGCCCAGGTACCGGCACTGCCCCGGGAATTCCGGCACTTCCCGGGGATTTCAGCACTTCCCGGGAATTCCGGGGGGTTCCCGGGGCATTTCCTGGGGGTTTCTGGGGGTTTTGTGGGGGATTCTGGGAATTCCGGGGGTTTCCCGGGGATTTCTGGGGGTTTCCTGGGAATTCTGGGGGGGTTTTCCTGGGAATTCCAGGGGGTTCCTGGGAATTGTGGGGATTTCTGGGGATTTGGAGGGTTTTCTGGGAATTTCCTGGGAATTCTGGGTGTTCCCTGGGTGTTTCCCATGTTTTCCTGTGAATTCCTGGTGTTTCCTGGGTGTTTCCTGTGTTTTCCTGGGATTTCTGGGGGGTTTCTGAGGATTTCCTGGTGTTTCCTGGGATTTCCTTTGTTTTCCTGTGTTTTCCCGTGAATTCCTGGTGTTCCCTGGGTGTTTGCTGGGTGTTTTCCCGTGAATTCCAGGGGGTTCCTGGGTGTTTCCTGGGTGTTCCCTGGGTGTTTTCCCGTGAATTCCCGGCGTTTCCTCCCATTCCCTCCTTCCCTCCTTCCTTCATTCCCTCCTTCCCTCATTCCCTCCTCCCCTCATTCCCTCATTCCCTCCTTCCCTCCTTCCCTCATTCCCTCATTCCCTCATTCCCTCCTTCCCTCATTCCCTCATTCCCTCATTCCCTCATTCCCTCATTCCCTCATTCCCTCATTCCCTCATTCCCTCCTTCCCTCCTTCCCTCATTCCCTCGTTCCCTCGTTCCCAGGCTCCCGGCCGGAAGCGCAAACTCTCCTCGGACGATTCCTGCAGCGAGGAGCCCGACAGCACCACCCCCCCTTCCCAGATCCCCAACCCCAAATCCCCCAAGGCCCCGTTCCGCTGCCGCAAGTGCGGCTTCGCCGCCGCCGCCCGCGCCGAGCTACAGGTGCACCTGGCCCGGCACCGCGGCAACACCGCGACGACAACCGCGACGGCCGCCGCGACAACCACCACCGGCGGCCAGCGGTGCCGCGAGTGCGGGCTGTGCTTCGCCTCCCCCGGCTCCCTCAGCCGGCACCGCTTCATCTCCCACAAGAAGCGCAAGGGCTCGGATCCCGCCGAGGAGCCGGGAAGCGCTTCCCGAGGGAGCGGCGATGCTGCCGGAGGTACAGCCGGGGGTACGGCCGGGGGTACAGCCGGAGGTACAGCCGGAGGTGCGGCCGGAGGTACAGGCGGAGCGGCGCAGGGGAAGCTGGAGTGCAAAGTTTGCGGGAGAGGATTCGAGAGTCAGCTCAACCTGAAAACGCATTTCCGGACCCACGGAATGGCGTTCATCCGCGCCCGGCAGGGAGCCGAGGAGAACTCAAAATTCCCAAAATTCCTGGAGTTCTGGGAATGGCGTTCATCCGCGCCCGGCAGGGAGCCGAGGAGAACTGAGAATTCCCAAAATTCCTGGAGTTCTGGGAATGGCATTCATCTGCGCCCGGCAGGGAGCCGAGGAGAACTGAGAATTCCCGGGATTCTGGGATTCTGGGATTCTGGGAATGGCGTTCATCCGCGCCCGGCAGGGAGCCGAGGAGAACTGAGAATTCCCAAAATTCCTGGAGTTCTGGGATTCTGGGAATGGCGTTCATCCGTGCCCGGCAGGGAGCCGAGGAGAACTGAGAATTCCCGGGATTCCCGGAATTCCCGGAGTTCTGGGATTCTGGGAATGGCGTTCATCCGCGCCCAGCAGGCAGCCGAGGAGAACTGAGAATTCCCGGGAATTCCCAGGAATTCCGGGATTGTGGGATTGGCTTCATCCGCGCCCAGCAGGCAGCCGAGGAGAACTGAGAATTCCCGGGAATTCCCAGAATTCCGGGATTGTGGGATTGGCTTCATCCGCGCCCGGCAGGCAGCCGAGGAGAACAGAGCATTCCCGGGATTCCCGGAATTCCCAGGATTCTGGGATCGGCCCAGGAAGCGATCACGGTATTCCTGGAATTCCAGGACTGGCCCCAAGGACAGCGGAGCATTCCCAGGAATCCCAGAATTCCCAGAATTCCAGGATCAGCCCTCAGCGTGCCCGGGAATCTCAGAATTCCCGGAATTCCGGGATGGGCTCCAGGGCCGGGATTTGGCGCCGTGTACATAAAACCCCCCGGGAACGCCGGATTCGGGGGAAGGATTTGGGAATTCCGGGATTCCTGGGGGCTCTTCCCAGGAATTCCCGGATCCGGATGGGACCGGGGAAGCTTTTCCAGCAAAATCCGCCTTTTTTTTATTTTAATTTTGGGGTTTTTTTGGGGACTTTTGTTTGATTTTCCTGGAATTTTCTTCCCCTCGGGAACCGTTCCCGGCGCGCTCTGCTGGGAAGGAATTCCTGGATCCGGAGCCTGGGAATTCCGGAGGATCCCCCGGGAAGGACGTTCGGCTGCTCCCGAGGGAGGAGGAGGAAAAAAAAAAAAGGAGGAAAAAATCGGGAAAAGGGAAGGATAAATAGGGAAAAAAACGGGAAAAAAAATGGGGAAAAAAAAAAATGGGAAAGAAATTTTTCCTTTGGGAAATGAACAAGACCCAAAATTGCCAGGATTGGGAAAGGGATCCGAGGAATCCCAGCCAGGATTGGGAAAGGGATCCGAGGAATCCCAGCCAGGATTGGGAAAGGGATCCGAGGAATCCCAGCCAGGATTGGGAAAGGGATCCGAGGAATCCCAGCCAGGATTGGAATCCCAAATTCCAACTTTTTCCCGTGGGAAAAGCTCTCGGAATTCCGGAGCGAGGCCCAGCTCCGGGGGCTTTTCCAGCTCCTTTTCCCAGCCCTTTCCCAGCTTTTTTCCGGCTCCTCCTTCCCCTCGGGATCCGGGACCTTTTCCCGCCTCAGATCCCCCTCTGGAAAAGCCGGGAATTCCCGGAATTCCCTGTGGATAACTCCCCCCTTTCCCTGTAAAGTTGTATCATACACTAAAATCCATCCCAACAACTGCTGAGCTCCTTTTGGCATTTTCCAAGGATTTTCCAAGGTTTTATTCCCGGTTTTTTTGTGTTTTCCGGGATGGCAGAAGCTGCTTCGGTTTTTTTTAATTTTTTTTTTGTTTTTCCCCTTTTTTTGACGTTTTATTCCCATTTTTTTTTAATTTTTGTTTGTTTTTCCCCCTTTTTTTGACGTTTTATTCCCGTTTTTTTGGCATTTTATTCCCGGTTTTTTTTAATATTTTCCTGTTTGTTTTTCCCATTCCCGTTTTTTTGACATTTTGGTTTTTTTTGTTTTTCCCCCTTTTTTTGACGTTTTATTCCCGGTTTTTTTTAATTTTTTGTTTGTTTTTTCCCCTTTTTTTGACGTTTTATTCCCGTTTTTTTGGCATTTTATTCCCGGTTTTTTTTAATATTTTCCTGTTTGTTTTTCCCCCTTTTTTTGACATTTTATTCCCGTTTTTTTGACATTTTATTCCCGTTTTTTTTAATTTTTTTTGTTTGTTTTTCCCTTTTTTTGACATTTTATTCCCCTTTTTTTTAAATTTTTTTTTGTTTTTCCCTTTTTTTGACATTTTATTCCCATTTTTTTTTAATTTTTTGTTTGTTTTTCCCCTTTTTTTGACGTTTTATTCCCGTTTTTTTAAATTTTTTTTTTGTTTTTCCCTTTTTTTGACGTTTTATTCCCATTTTTTTTAATTTTTTTTGTTTTTTTCCCCCTTTTTTTGACATTTTATTCCCATTTTTTGACGTTTTATTCCCATTTTTTTAAATTTTTTTTGTTTTTCCCTTTTTTTGACGTTTTATTCCCTTTTTTAAATTTTTTTTGTTTTTCCCCCTTTTTTTGACGTTTTATTCCCATTTTTTGATGTTTTATCCCCATTTTTTTTTAATTTTTTTTTGTTTTTCCCTTTTTTTGACAATTTATTCCCATTTTTTTAATTTTTTGTTTGTTTTTCCCCCTTTTTTTGACAATTTATTCCCATTTTTTTAATTTTTTTTGTTTTTCCCCCTTTTTTTGACATTTTATTCCCGTTTTTTTTTAATTTTAATTTTTCCCAAGCCAGGAATGAGAGGAATTTTCCCTTTTTTTTTTTCCCCGTGCAGGGGATGAGGGAAAAAGTGGGAAAAAACAAAAAAAAAACCAAAAAAACCTGGAAAAATCAGTCGGAATCGGCCATTCCCAAAAATCCCCCAGGCCGGGTGTGTAAATAAGAGGAAATTAAAGTTTCTACCAGATTTAGATGGGAAAAAAAATTCCCAAAAAATAGAAAAACTATGGAAAAACGGCTTTGATCCCGCGGTTTTCCGGCGTTTCAGTGCCTTGAGCTGGATTTGGGGTGGAGGGAGGGAGAGGGGCTGGAATTCCGGGAATATTCCCCCCCTGGAATTCCGGGAATATTCCCCCCCTGGAATTCCGGGAATGTTTTTTCCCCCTGGAATTCCGGGAATGTTTTCCCCCCCTGGAATTCTGGGAATGTTTTCCCCCCTGGAATTCCGGCGGGAATTTTGTGCTCCTCTGGAATTTTAGGGAACGTTCCCCCCCAGAAATTGGGGAATGTTTCCCCTGGAATATTTCGGGGTTGGATCTCCTGGGATTTTAGGGCAGCTCCCCTGGAATTTTGGGAATGTGTCTCTGGAATTCTGGGGCTGCATCCCTGGGATTTTGGGGCCACATCCTCAGAATTTTGGGAATGTGTCCCTGGAATTTTGGGAATGTGTCCCTGGAATTTTGGAGCTGCATCCCTGGGATTTTGGGGCCATGTCCTTGGGATTTGGGGAATGTTTCCGTGGAATTTCAGGAATGCGTTCCCGGGATGATTTTTTGGGAATGCGTTCCCGGGATGTTTTTTTGGGAATGCGTTCCCGGGATGTTTTTTTGGGAATGCGTTCCCGGGATGTTTTTTTTGGGAATGCGTTCCCGGGATGATTTTTTGGGAATGCGTTCCCGGGATGATTTTTTGGGAATGCGTTCCCGGGATGATTTTTTTGGGAATGCGTTCCCGGGATGATTTTTTGGGAATGCGCTGCCGGGAAGCCGCGGGCTGCGAGAGGCTCTCAGGAATTCTTTATTCTGTAGGAATCGATCCCATTAAACTCCAGTGGTTTCACCCCTGCTGTGCCCTGGCCTGGATCCGGCTTTTCCCGGGAAAACTCCCGGGAATGGGGTGGGGGAGGGGCGGGGGGCTCCGGCTGCGTCCCCGAATTTTGGTCCTGGGCCCCCCCCCCCCCAAAAAAAAGGGACTTGGGAAGGGCGGGGGCCCCTCTGTCCCCTCCTGGTGTCCCTCTGTCCCCTCCCGGTGTCCGTCTGTCCCCTCCTGGTGTCCGTCTGTCTGTCCTGGTGTCCGTCTGTCCCCTCCTGGTGTCCCTTTGTCCCCTCCTGGTGTCCGTCTGTCCCCTCCTGGTGTCTCCCTGTCCCCTCCTGGTGTCCGTCTGTCTGTCCTGGTGTCCCTCTGTCCCCTCTTGGTGTCCCCCTGTCCCCTCCCGGTGTCCCTTTGTCCCCTCCCGGGGTCCCTTTGTCCCTTCCTGGTGTCCGTCTGTCTGTCCTGGTGTCCGTCTGTCCCCTCCCAGTGTCCCTCTGTCCCCTCCCGGTGTCTGTCTGTCTGTCCCTCTGTCCCCTCTGTCTGTCCCTCTGTCCCCTCTGTCTGTCCCTCTGTCTGTCCCTCTGTCCCCTCCCTGTCCCCTCCCCGGGGCAGGATCCGGATTTTGGAGATTTTAATGTTAAAAACGGAAAGGGGGGGCGGGGGGAGGGGACACTGAGGGGACACCGAGGGGACATTGGGGGGGCACAGGGGGTGCAGAGGGGACATTGGGGACCCTGGGGACACCTTGGGGACACCCTGAGGACCTTGGGGACACCTGGGGACACTGGGGACACTTTGGGGACCCTGGGGACACCCTGGGGACCCTGGGGACACCTTGGTGACACCCTGGGAACACCCTGGGGACACCCTGGGGACACCTGGGGACACCTTGGGGACACTTTGGGGACCCTGGGGACACTTTGGGGACCCTGGGGACACATCTGGGGACACCTTGGGGACCCTGGGGACACCCTGGGGACACTCCAGGTGTCCCCCCTGCCCAGCAGGCCAGGCCTGGGAGAGGGGGAGGGGAAATCCCGGATTTTCCTTCCCTGGGAAGCTCCGGATCCTCCTCCGGGATTTGGGATTTGGGATTTCGGGATTTCGGGATTTCGGGATCGGGACAAGGCCCCCGACCCCCCCCCGCCCAAATCCCAACATTCCCAGGCTGGAATTCCAGGCTGGAATTACCCGGGAAAGGGGGAGGGAGAGTCCCAGCCCCAAATCCCCTGGAATTGCGGGAATTCCCCACCTGGAATTCCCCACCTGGAGGGAATCCCGCCGGGAATTCCACCTGGGAATCCCAGGAATTCCCACCAGGAATTCCCCACCAGGAATTCCCCACCTGGAGGGAATCCCGCCGGGAATTCCACCTGGGAATCCCAGGAATTCCCAACCAGGAATTTCCCCCCCCCAGCCACCCCTGGGGGCTTTTCACGGATTGGGAATGACCCCCCCCCACAAGGCCGGGAATTCCGGGAATTCCGGGATCCCCCGCATTCCCTGGGATCAGGGGGGTGAATTCCAGGGAATTCCCAGCCCATCCCCCACCCCCCATTCCCACGGGGATCCCTCCCCTCCCCCACGCTTTTCCCGCCGCTTTTCCTGGCTTTTTTCATGGAATTCTCCGGAATTCTGTCCCGTTTCTCCAGCAGCATCCAGGAGGAGGAAGAGGAGGATGAGGAGGAGGAGGAAGCCGCTCCTCCCTCGCCATTTTTCCACCCAAAACGGGGCAAAAACGGGAAAAATCCCCATTTCCTCCCCTTTTTCTCGGGACCGGGGGAGGGAAAAGGGAGAAGCGGCGGGAAGGGGAATTTTTTTTGTTGTTGTTTTTCCCGGTTTTTTTCCCCCCGTTTTTCCCGGGCTCTGGAATTTCACATGATGCCGTTGGTGAGGTACTGGAAGCCGTCGTAGAGCTTGGTGGTGATGGAGCGCACGGAGCCCTCGACCATCTGCTCCACCTGCAGCTGCAGCTGCTCCTCCGTCAGGTGCAGGTGGAAACGCTCCTTCAGGTGCCGGATGGTGGAGGAGCCGTGGAAGCACGGCAGCTGGGAGCCTGGGAAATAATGGGAAAAGGAATGGGAAAAATAATGGGAAAAATAATGGGAAAAATAATGGGAAAAATGG